CCTTGGGAATCTACAAATGAATGCTGACCTAGGCTGGGGTTGGGAGACGGAGGGATCTTAACCTTAGGGGGGGAAAGGCATCAAATACCAATGTCAAACGAAATACAGATGTGCCTGCAAGTGTATATGTTCTCTAGCAAGCACTATCGATTTGTTTAAATTCACTGAAGGATAGTCCTAACAAAATCTTAAACAGCGAGCACATCCTTTTATACATTAAGAAAAAGGAATGTAAGAATTACAAGCCAGACATGGCAGAAGGCATTGTGGCATTGATGCCAATACTTGTCTATTGCATACTTTTGATGTCTTAACTAGAAACTAACCCTCCATGCCCGCAGCCACTACTATGCTCTCTGCCCTCCTCTGCCTATGAGGATGTGAAAAAGTGGAGCAACCACTTGTCCTAACAACCTGCATATCGGGGGGCCGCACCCCCGTCCCTTCCAGTGATTTCTATTCTCAGAAAGACCTCTGCATGGGGATCATTTGACCAATAGTGAGACACAAATCAAACATGAGAAAGCTGTATAATTTACAAACCCTCAATGAGTGGCATGACAATTATATACTGAATCTCCCTCCCTCCTTCCTTGGAAGGCTATGGTAATTGGTGGGATTCTTACTGTAAGATATTTACTAAACATGAAGATCAGGGTGGTCAATTTGGAGTCTTATGTGTTGATAAAGTAGATGGTCACCTATACGGTATGTTTAAAAGTTTCTAGAAAAGCCACATAATCACCAGCCAGCTCCCCAATCCAGACATTAAATTGCCCCAAATTCCACAGCTAAAATATCATTCTTTTGTTTCCCTCCTAGGGGTACTGTGGAAAGAGACTTTATTTGGAATTTGAAGTTCTGCGTTCAAATACTGCACCCATCACTTAGTCACCTATCAGTATGGCTTCAGGAAAGTCACTTAAACTTCCTGGACCTCAGTTTCCTCATCTGTAAGAATCATAGGGCTGGAAAGATAACCTCTTCCTAGTTTCCAGGGCTTCTAGGACAGCTAGATGGGATCGCAAGTGTAGGCTTGGGAGGCTTTATCTGTCTTGCCTCCACTTGGGATATTGAGATCAATTATCTATAGAAATGAAGGTGCTATAAAATGAACGGTATTAAATTTTGGAAACAGGGAGAAATATTCCCAAAAGATGTGTGGGAGTGTGTGTGGGGTGGGCGTGGGGGTGGGGAGTCACTTCCAACTTTAGGTCTATGATCTGAAGTACAAATATTTCCTGGAAGTAGAAATGCATTGTTAGTAATGGCTGTGGATAAATTATTTCATCAATTCAATTTCTGGAGGAGAGTACTGAGTTCTTCAGGGTAGGGGTGAGGGTAAGGGAAAGGAATCCTGAAAGGACAGTGGCTGGTAAAGAAGGCAAAAAAGGGTGGCGGAGAATTCCAAGGACACAAATGATTTCATTGTTCACTCTGGGCACTGTGAATGGACATGTATGCACATGTATTTAGACAAGTGCACAGGTATGTTAAGCTGTGTGTGCAGGTTTTATGGGGGGGAGGGACTTTCACTGGAGAACTATGACACAGGTTTAAATTCTGGGCCCTCAAGCGAAAATTTCAAAAAGGGCCCCTTTACACTTTGTTAACTGCCTTTGGGGAAAAACAAAAAAACAAAAAAACCTGATCTTGTTGGGGGGGGGGTGGCTTCTAAAACCTGCTTAAGTAGTATTTAAGCCTCTCCCTGAGGCTGTTCTCAAACCTCAGACAGAGGAAGTCCACAGATGAGGAAATTAAGAATAAGACCACCTCCAAGGGTGCCAGGAGCTCAGTTTTTAAAATTTTTAGTCTGAGGGTTATAGCCTAAAATGCATGAGAGAAAATAGTGACTTCATAATTTATCAGATTGTATTTAAGGTACCTTTCATGGGATAATTTCAGAGACTGAATGCTAATGGATAGCTCTGACATCTGTGTTCACAGTCTTCCTTGCTTTTAATTAGATTTGCAGTGAGGTAAGGTGAAAAGAGCGCTGTCCTTGGAATCAGAATACCTGATTTCTAGGCCTGGCTCTGATATTCACTAACTTTGTGTGTCCTGAGCAAATTGCTTTACTTTTCTGGACCTGGTTTCCTTATATGAAAAAAAGAGAAAATAATATTTATGCCATCTACCTACCTCATACCCAGAAAGACCTAGACACTTTGCAGCTGTGTGACCCTGGGCAAGTCACTCAGCCTCAGTTTCTTCATCTGTAAAATTGGGCTAATAGTAGCACTTACCTCACAGAGTTGTTGTGAGGATCAACACACACAAAGCACTTTGCAAAACTTAAAGCACTACAGAATTGCTGGCTAACTGCTGCAGTGGATAGAGCACCGGGCCTGGAGTCAGGAAGATCAGAGTTCAAATCTGGCCTCAGACACTTGCTAGCTGAGTGACCCTGGACAAGTGGCTCAACTCCTATTTGTCTCGGTTCCACATCTATAAAATGAGCTGCAGCAGGAAATGTCACCACTCCAGCATCTTTGCCAAGAAAACCCCATGGACAACAGTCCATGGGGTCATGTAGTGTCAGATAATGTTTATTTTTTGTTCTCGGTGAGTGGGATGCCCCCATGAAGACTTCTCAGTGTAATTAAGGTTTGGGATAAGACTATCCTGAATTTGGAAGTAAGTTTAGAAGACAGAAAAGGATAAGTATAGATTTCTATAGTTCCCTTTTTCTCACAGTCTGACTTCAGTAGTTAAAGATTGCCAAGCCTGAAACCCCCCCTGTACCCCTGTATTCTGTTGCTACATTCCGGTCACGGTGATCTTCCCACAGCAGCGTCTGGCTTGATCGCACATTCTAAATTGTTCATTTTTTCAGCAAACTAAGGTGATGCATATGTATATTGTTTCTTTGTTCTCTGTCTCTGGGAATAGATTTTCGAGCTTAGATTGTAAACCAAAGATTGGATAGTTGGTGGGAGGGGGAATTTTCCCGTTAGGGCTATTTAATCTGGCTTTCTGCTTCTGTACTCTCTCTCTCTCTTCATCAGAGTATCCTGGTGGGGAGACACCCGATTCTCGAAAATTGAAATAAACTTTCTGTTCCTATCTTGAGATACCTTTAAGTGTTTTGTTTTGTTTTTTTAGGTGGCATTCCACACATCGACTTGATAGGTTTATTTGGACAACTTCCTTTTAAGACATGTATACAAGACAACTTTCCCTTAGGAGAGAGGAGACCATGTTTGTCTAACCAAGGTAATTATAAGTTTCTAGGTGAACATTTTTGCCATAGACTCGGAAGTTAAGAGTTGATCTAGAGTTTCTGGTTGACAGAGAACAACGATGTGGGGTGGGACAGTAAGGGATTATATTATGACAACTATAAAGCACTAAGACTTTTGGAATACTGTATATAACACACACACACACACACACACACACACATACACATACCATCCAATATGGTTACTGGATTTCATATGCACACCCCAGCATAACACACATACACTTGCTATATAAACATCTACTTCTCAATATAAAGCACCTGTTTCTGCTGCATATCACTCTTAAACCACATTGAAACAAAGTCATACTCAGCTAATAATTAACCTGTACAGGGCATAGATGAGTCTAAAAACATTATTTCATTTGTATATTACAGCTTTTTATCTCTGGACCACACATATCCCTATCTCACACACTCCATCTCCTGACTTGGGGCATTTTCACTGCCTGTCAGTCTCCCATGCCTGGAATGCTATCCCTCCATCTCTGCCTCGAGCTTCCTTCAGGTTCCAGCTAAAATCCCACCTCCAACAGGAAGCATTCAATGATCCCTCTTAATTCCAGTGCTCTGCCTCTGTTGGTTGTCTCCACTTTATCCTGCACATAGCTGTTTGCACAAAGTTCTTTGCACGTCCTCCCCTTTATCCCCACTAGGCTGAAAGCTCCTTGAGACCAGCAATGCCTTTCTTTGAAAATCCAGTTTAGCACAGAGCTAAGTAGGTGCTTAGTAGGATTAAGCACATAGTAGGTGCTTAAGAAGTTCTTTGTAAGTACTAGCTGTGTGACCTTGGGCAAGTCACTTCACCCTGTTTGCCTCAGTTTCCTCGTGTGTAAAATGAGCCAGAGAAGGAAATGACAAACCACTCCAGTATCCCTGCCAAGAACACCCTAAATGGGTTCATGAAGAGTTGGATAAGGCCGAAAAACAACAAGATGCTTAATAAATGCTTGCTGCTGACTTGACAGGGGCATGTGTGGGAGCCAATGAAACTTCCAGGCAAGCACACGTACACACCCAGAAGTATGGTGGTAAATGTTTAACAACCGGCTCTAAAAAGGGGGGGGCACATAGGACACATTTTAAAGTGTAATCTGCATTGTTAACATTTTCTCCATCAGTTTTTTAAGTCTTTTTGTTCTTCAGTTACGTATGACTCTTCCTGACCCTGTGACCCCTTGGACCATAGCAGGCCAATACTATCTATGGGGTTTTCTTGGCAGGGATACTGTAGGGGTTTGCCATTTCCTTCTCTGGTTCATTTTACAGATGAGGAAACTGAGGCAAACAGGGTGAAGTGACTTGCCCAGGGTCACACTGCTAGTAAGTGTCTGAGGCCACATTTGAATTCAGGTCCTCTTGACTACAAGTCCGGTGCTCTATCCACTGAGCCATCCAGCTACCTTTAGAGAATCCACAAAAAATTCAAGCCGTTATTTTTATTTAGCATTTGCGGATTCCTGAAGTGCAAGCGCTCCCACTGAAAACGGAACCATCGGCTTGGCTGCGCACACTCCTAACCACACACACTCACACCCAGCGCTACAGGTCCTGCGCAGGCGCACACCAATAGGATCGAGCTGGGGCCGAGGAGGGACAGAGGGAGGTGCCGCTGCCGTAGTGCCGCCCATCTCGCGTTCCAGGCTCTCGTTGTCTGCTAGGGGGAGGCAGCGACAATCGAAGAACGCCGCGTGCCCTTCGCCCTGTCGCAAGGTGGCGCCGAGCGTGCTTTACGGCAGTCTCGCTTCCGCCGCCGTAAAGCGACAGAGGAGATTCCGCGTGGGTATGCGGATAAGATCCGTTTCTTGCTTGGAGGCGGTGGAGGGAAACTTGGAGCGATGGGGAAACGGAGGAACCGGAGCCGAAGCCAGAGCCAGGTGCTGAATAGCCTCAGTAAAAAGCAGAAGAAGCACCTACGGGACTTCGGGGAAGAGCACCCGTTCTACGACAGGTCCGGCCAGGGCCCCGGGGGCGGGTTTTTCCTCCAGGCACTCCCCACCTTTGATTTTTTTTTTTTCCTAGAAGGACCTTCTGGGAGAGGGGACAGACTCTTTGCTGACTGACTTTTACGATATTTCCTTTCACGCAGTCTGGCCTCCAGCCTGCTTTGGTGTTACCGGCACAGGATTTAACGTCCGTTCCCTCCTCCGAGCCTTTGCATAGGCTGGTTCCCATGTTTGTAATGTTTTTCCTCCTTAGGTCAGATTAGTGTGATCCCGAGCTTGCTGCAGATTACAGTTTATTTGCAGATTACAGATCTCCCCATCTGTTAGTGCTTTTTCTCCAATCCCTGGAATTATTTTGCATTTATTCTGTATGTATGTTGTTTGGTGGGGCTGGTGTGGCATGGTAGATTAGGAGCTTGCTTTGAATCGAGAAAGATCTGGGTTCAAATCCGTCTTCTGACACATTCTTATGCAGTGTCAGTCGGTAAACATTTATGAAATGTCTGCTGTGTGCCAGGCACTGTGCTAAGCGCTAGGATCACAAGGAATGGTAAAAACAGCGGCTGCTCTCACGGAGCTCACAATCTAATGAGAGAGACAACATGCGAACACCTATGTATAAACAAGTTATATATGAGATAAATAGGAAATAATCAACGGAGGGAAGGCACTGGAACTGAGATTGGGAAAGGTTTCCTGTGGAAGATGGGATTTTAAGCTGACATTTGAAGGGAGCCAGAGCAACGCTGTCAAATCACTTAAGCTTTCAACATTGCTGGAGGCAACTTTCTAAGACTATACGGATGGCAGAGAAAGTGCAAACCTGCATTGGTAGTGGGAGTTTCCTCCTTATAGTGATTCGCATAGGCTTATACTTTTTTCTTCTTTATAATGTAAGTTTCTTAAGGACTTTGGCTCCTTTAGCACTATGCCTGGCACTGTGTAAGCACCAGTAAATATTTATTTAATGGGAATAGGCTAGGGAAGGTATGAGCTTTTACTCAAAGCAATTTGTACTTCCTTCTGAGAAAGTAATGTATGGGAAAAGTGCCCCGCTGGCAGTTGGGAGACCTGGTCCAGAGGCTCCTTCCAGCTCCGTGTGTGTGTGTGTGTGTGTGTGTGTGTGTGTGTGTGTGTGCGCGTGCGCTCGCGCGCGGAGGGGGTGGGGGTGGGGGGATATGAGCAAAACATTTTATTTATTTATTTGTTTTAGGCAGTTGAGGTTAAGTGACTTGCCCAGGGTCACACAGCTAGTAAGTGTCAAGTGTTTGGTCTGAATCCGGATTTGAGCTCAGGTCCTCCTGACTTCAGGGCCGGTGCACTATCTACCACCTAGCTGCCCCCAAGCAAAACATTTTACTAGGTGCTGGTGATACAACAACAAAAATATAGATGCCCCTCCCCTCAAGGAACTTGCGTTTTTGTGGGGCAGGGACCCAACTACTTTGATCTGGAACTGTCAGGGTCTCTTTCTGTTCTAAACTTCTCGTAAGGCATTTTGTTTACCTTTTCTGTGGTACTTATCACACATTGCCTTCTAAATGAATTTGGGGCACTGTATTAGTATACTGTTTATTCAGTCGCAGGGCCACTTCCCTCCTTTTTCATCCCCCTCATTTGTTGATAATTGTTGGAATCTTATATCAGCTGTCTTTTTACAGGGTTTCTGGAAAAGAAGCAAAGCCTCAAATCTGCAAGCTGGTAATGCTCTTTAATTTTTTTTTATAAGTATAAGCTTGGTTATGGGCATTTTTGTTTGTTTGCTTGTTATTTTAATGATTACATAGCAGGGATTGATGTAGTTTGGCCTTGTTCATCCACATGAGAAAGACCAACTGGATGAGTAATGTCTGATGCCCAGATTTCTACATATAGTTGGTTGACTACCCAATAGAGCTTGTCCAAAATTATATATGTATTTGGGCTGACTGTACAAATAACCAAGAGAAGAGGATTGGCCTACATTGCTTTCAGTAAATTACAAAGTTCTTTTACTGACCCCCATGTTTTCCATGAAATCAAAGACTCTTTTTTAAAAATCCTAACATTTTACCAGTATCTCTGAATTGCAACCAGACATGGAACATTACTCCAAAGGACATTACATGCTTCCAGAGAATTAAATATTAGTATCACACAGGTGGCAAGGGAGAGGTGCATGGAAGGCGTGAGCAGACAACCACATCTGACTAATGCAGAACTCTAGAGAAGAGCAGGTGATACCCTTCAGGTCATCTGTTCTTAAGAGATAGAGAAGGTGGATGGGCTGTGGCAAGAGCTAGGGATGATAGTTGACAGTCAGAGTGTTCTACTAGGGTCCTTGAGATGTCATGAGAAAGTGAAGAATGCACCTACCATGTTGGGTGCACTTTCTGTGGTGAACTCTTGGAAGAACATGGACGTGAGTTTTATAGGATGGACAACCATGGTGGGTGGAGATCTACATTGTTGGAGGGAATTTTCAAGCAGTGAGATCATAGGTTCATGTGAATGTGGAAATGCATATGTGATACTAAAGAGAACTAAAGTACAAAGACTCCTTCAGTTTTTTGAGATTGGTTTTGAAACCACCCCATATGGCCTGGCAGGTCCTCTAAAAAGCAGTGGATCTGCTTCCTGACCACTGGCCTCATTTATAAAATAAAAGAAGATTATTTTATATATAAATAATAGAAGAAGACGAAAATAGAGAAGACAGGGGTGTGTGTGTGTGTGTTGGATTTTGAACTAGAATTCTTTTGTTGTAATATAATTTCTTTCCCTTGAATACTGCTTTAAATAAGCAGGCCATTATCTGGGGCATGGGAATTTTAGTCTGAATGAGATTTATTTGACATATACTTTGAGCCAGTTTTACCTCCTTAGCTTAGGAAAAATGTGATGCTGGAAGGCTCCCAGCTCTTCAGATTAGTAATTTTGCAGAGGGTTTGGTTCTGGGTTAAGTGAATTCAGGATGGTCTCACCCATAGGAGAGTGCCAGTAGCTAGGCCTAAACCTGTTACACTGGTCTTTCAGATCAGTTTTTGGCCTAGTGTGGGATTGTATGAGATAACAGTGAAAACAATGTCATTTTGTTTCTTATCAGAAGAGACTCTTTGAAAAAACAGTAGACCTCTTGCCTCAGCTCTCTTAGGTCCAATTCTGTAACTTGGGACAAGTCTCTAAACTTCAGTTTCCTCAGTTGTAAAATAAGGGTAATATTTACATTACCTGCCTCATGGGGGCATCCTGCAGAAGATTTCATAATCCTCAGTGTGATTGTTGTGACTTATAATTACTGTTTTTGATGTTTTTAAAATTGTTTCATTTTTCCTTTTAGTCAGAGAATTCAGATCATTCGAGTTCAGAAAGTGATTCAGACAGCGAATCAGAAAAGGTCTCTGAATACCACAAGTTACTTGCCACCCTGAAGAATGTTTCAGAGGAGGAGGAAGATGAAGAGGAAGGAGAGAGTGCTGTAGAAGAAGAGGCAGAAGTGGAGAGTGAAGGAGACCATAGAGACAGCAGTTTGGAGAAGGAGGAAGAAGAGGAGGAGGAGGAGGGGGAGGAACGGGAAGGAAAGAGGGGAGGTAGGTAGCTCTGAGTGGGTCAAAGTCTGTCAGCCCTGGGGACCCTGGTGTGCAGAGACCTAGCCTGTGTGCCGATAGGTTGGACCCGAGGATGAATATAGGGCATGCAGGATGTAGAGGAAGGAAGTCTTGTCCTGGGGAGCTACCATTTTAGTAGGGGAGGGGGGAAACCTCCAGGTTAGAGAAGAACACACAGTCAGAAAAAGAAGTTAAAACTCATGTTAAGAAACATTTGAAATATGAACTCACCTAGTGTAAAAGTGTGCGACATTTATCAAAGGGGTCCTAGGTGCTTAGAGATAGCTGGAATTGGTTGTGGACAGCTTCATAGGTTAGGTGAGTATTCATGCCTGAAAGAATTTTGGTTTCACTCAAATATCTATGTGACTTCGTACTTTGTGTCCTAGTGCTTGTTTTCTTAACTGTCCAAGGTTTTACATTTCCCATTTTCCATTATCTTGGGTGTCATATCATTCATTTGAGGAAAGTGATTATCTGCACAGGGCTATCTCTTGAGTTTTTGGATACATATCCATTACCCTTAGTGTGCTAGGGATTTGTGCATCTTGCTTTCTGCACCTGGGTCTCCTCAGTCAGTTAGCAAACATTTATTAAGTATTCCTAGGCCCTGGGGAGACAAAAACAGAAATGAATAATCTTTGCTCTTGAGGAGCTTGTGTGCTGTCCTCAAAAAAATCCATTAAGAGGATGAGTTCTTAGCCATCTTCTGAATTCATACTGTCAGTCAATACGCATTTATTAAATGCTTACTGTGTGCCAGGCACTGAAAATGCAAATAAAAGCAAAAACATCATTCCTGTACTCAAGGAACTCACATTGTAGTGGGGGAAGCAATATGCAGATTTCTTGGTATGTACAAGATATATACAGAGTACATGGGTGGTAATCAAAGAAAGAAGGCACTAGCAGTGGAGGGGGGCGGTGAGAGTACAGAACTGGGAAAGGCTTCCTTCAAAAGGCAGGATTTGAACTGAGCCTTGAAGAGGTGGAGGGAGAGCCTGCACAGTGTGGGGGACGGTCAGTGTAAAGGATCACAGATGGGTGGAGGGGACCAGAGTGTAAGAGTAGGAAGGGGCCAGATTGTGAATGGCCTTCAGAGCCAAACAAAGGGGCATACTTTTGGTCCTGAAGATCATAGGGAGCCACTAGAGTGTATTAAGTGGGGAGAGTGATGAGGTTGACATGGTCAGTGAGGTCAAGCGGTCTCAATCATCAGGGATTTTGAGTTTTTGTTTTAATATCTTACAATAGGAAAAGAGGCTGATGTGGCCCTGTCTGACGCAGAGGATAAAGATGGGGAAGCACTTTCCCGACCGAGAGCTGCTGAGGACGAGTTCACAGATAGGAAACATGAATCAGAATTCAGCCTGGAAACCAATTTCCTAGAGGAGGAGGGTGGAGACCACAGGGCCCTTCAGAAGGACGTCTCGGCTGTGAAAGCCTCAGAAGGTGAGAACTGAATGCCCTGGCCTTTGGCAGCAGAGATGAGTGGGTGCCATCAGGGAAGGTGAGCATGGCACGGACAGGAGACTCCCTACTGCCGGGCCAGGTGGCTGTGAGCTTCTCGAAGGCTACCTCTTTTCTTCCTGACCTGTATTCACTGAAATGGGGCGCTCTTTGTGAGGAAGCTTCTTCCACCAATGCACATCAGCAACTCTTCTGTAATTTGTGGCCCTATGAGTTACAGGTGCCCCCCCGAGGGGGAATGAGGCTTCTTCAGAGTCACAGAGCCAGGATGTGTCAAGACTTGGGACTTGAACCCAGGTCACTTTGCCTCTCCAAGGCAGGCTCTCTGACTGCTCTGCTTCACGATGATAGCTCTGTAGCACTTATAGGCACAGCCTGAAACCCAGAGGAGTCAGCTGCCCTAAGGTATTTGGCATGGCCTGTGGATGGCTAAATAGAACATTGGAAACACGTGGGCCATGGAAACATAGCAGGGCCACAGTCTGGGGAATCATAGGATTTGGAGTAGGAGGCAGCCTTAGAGATAACCTAGGACCACTGCCCCCCTTATTTAGCGCATTGGGAAACTGTGCCCTAGTCCCCCACACAGTAAAAGGCAGGACTAGGATTCGAAGCCAGGGCCTCTAACCCCAGATCTAGTATTCTTTCCATGTGTTATGTCACCTCAGTGTCTTTCTAACTCATTCTGTTTTTGCTGAGGCGGTTCTGGACTCAGTGACTTAGAGCAGCAGACTCACGCTTATGTTTCATATTCTTTTAAAATTCATATCACCCCTGTGTTTATATTACTACTACTATTGCTGCTGCTGCTCTGGCTGCCACCTCCTGAATCTTTACTTCTCTTCACAAAGATTCTTTAACCTGATTAGTCAGAACAGAGGGCTGCATGATATGCAGGCTGCTGGATTTAACCTTGCAGCTTTGAAATCCCTGGTTTAGAACATGGTGTGAATTAGAGTGAAGTCACAAATTCTGTCCTTTGTGGGCCATTTCCTGTTGCCATTTTGCACATCCTCATTCTATAGCAACCCTATTCATTCTGGCCAGCCATCTGCCAAGAGGAGAGGTTGTTTGTCTAGTAGTTCAAAGAGTTTGGTGGGTGACCAAGGCATCCTAGCCATCCAAAACTATAAACAGCGCCCCTCCTGCAAGTGGGCCGCTGGTAGTTGTATTTGTCAGCTGAAGGCATATTTGTTTTGGGAAACTATGAACCTGTTATAGTCACAATAACTGATTTAAAAGTTTATCAGGTGTTTTACATACATGATCTCCTTTGAGCCTCTCGACAGTCCTGTGAGGTAGGTATTAGAGTTACTATTGTGTCCATTTTACAGATGAGGAAACTAAAGCTCAAGAGAGGCTTAATGATTTATCTGTGGTCTCTCAGCCACTAAGTGTCAGAGGCAGGATTTGAACACAGGTCTTCCTGGCTCCCAAGTCCAGTGTTCTCCTGCTGTGTCTCCACTGTCACTATGACCTACTGGTATTTATTAATTTCTCAAGTGTACTGATGATGAATGTTTCTGCACCAGATCCATTTCTACAACATATGAATAAAGAACTGAAAGAAAAAGACATCCAGGGTGTCAGCACAAACCCCAAAATTACCCAGCAACTAAACGTAAGTACTGCTGCCTATTGAAACTATTAGCTAAGACACACTTGACATGAACCTGTGCAGGCTTCTACTTTCAGAGTTTACATCTAGTGACCTATGAATTTTAACATCACATTGACAGCTCACAGTATCAAAGAGCTAGTTGTCATAGTTGAAACATCACTAGTGGGTTTGGAAGAGGGCACGGTTAAAGAAGGTGTCATTAGAAAGTTCTGGCCATCTCCCTGATTTAGGGAACCTGGGAATGAAGGCTCCCTGCATGGATGTACTGTCCCGTATTTGTGTCAAAGGTGGACCTGGGAAAATCTTCTCCTAACCAGCACCTCTCTCCTCACCCCACTTTGTCCCTCGGGGTGAGAACAGTCTGGTTGACTTCCTTTGCCTTCTGCTATGTATCCCCTGTCAGTGAACACAAGATCATTCCTACCATCCTCCTCAGCTCCTAGTTCTGAACTGTGTATTCTTTTACATCTGTGCATTTCCATCTTTACATTGAATGTTTGTAATAGTTATTTGAAATAAGTTTAGCTCCAGCCTATTTGAATATAGGAGTTTCTTCTCTTTCTTACTCCCTTCATTGATGCTACAATGAAGAGCTAACTTTAGAATAGAGGAACCATGATGTAGTATAGAATGGAGAGCCAGCCTTGAAACCAGGATGACTTATCTAGGCAGAGTTTGGTCCTAACACAACTGTTGTCTTCTTTTTTCCTCAGTGGTCAACTCTGGGTCAACTCGTGTTTTCAACCCAGTTTCATACGCTGGAGACTTTTAAGCCTCCAAAGGACATTGACTTGATGACACTCCATCTCCAGAAGCCCTTGGATTCCACATGGTCCAAAATAAACGGCCAATTCCTCTCTGGCCCCCCAAAACCAAATGGACCCTTCTCCCCTCTACAGAAAGAGCTCTTCTCAGTTATGAACTCATATCGGGACTTGTTGTACCCAGAAAGGACAGCACTGGGGAATGGGGAAGAGATCCGTCATGTGTACTGCCTTCATGCCATGAACCATGTTCTCAAAGCCAATTCCCAGGTGCTCAGCAATAATAGCAAACGCCGAGATAAGAAACCAAGGGCAGGTGATGATGACGATGCCTTCAGGGACCAGGGGCTCACTCGACCCAAGGTAAGAGGAAGCAGATTGGCCCAGCCTCCTAGAGGAATGCATTAGGACTTCTTCTTTAAGTAGATTTTTATTGCTATCTTCTGTTTTTACATTACCTACATTTCCCCCTCTATCCATCTCCATACCCCATCCCAGATAGTCATCTCTTATCTAACATAATCACTTCAAAAATTCATTATTTGTTTTTTAATATTCTTTTCAAAAATTTTGGGTTCCAAATTCTCTATCACCCCTCTCCAACTCCCTTAGAAGGCAAGCAATATGATATCGATTATACATGTGAAATCGTGCAAAACATATTTCTATATTAGCCATATTGCAAAAAAAAAAAGCAAGAAAAATAAAGAAAGTGAGAAAATTATATTTCAGTTTGCATTCAGAGTTCATCAGTTCTCTCTCTGGAGGTAGATTGCATTTTTTTCATTATGAATCCTTTGGAATTGTCGGATCATTGAATGAATCAGATTAGCTAAGTCTTTCACAGTTCATCATCCTTGCAATATTACTGTTACTGTATAGTAATCTTTAATGAGCTTTTGTGCCTCTTTTTCTAAGTTGTTGATTCTCCTGCATCACTCTCATTTCTTTCCCCAATTTTTCCTCTACCACTCTTATCTTTCTTTTAAGCCTTCCAAGAATTCTTGTTGGCCTTGTGTCCAATTAGCAGTTTTTTCTTTGAGGTTTTGCTTGTAGCTCTTTTCATACTGTTTTCTTCTTCTGTGTTTGTGTCTTAGTCTTCCCTGCAATCATATTAGCTTTTTAAAGACAAGTTCTTTTTTTTCTTTCTTTTATTTTGTTTTTCTTTTTCTTTCTTTTTTCTTTTTTCTTTTTTTTTGGCTATTTGCTAATTTTTCTAGCCTATTTCTTCACTTTGACCTTTAAATGTTAAATTTCTGCTCATCTAGAGGTTGGGGAGGCACTGTGCCAAGCTTCAGGCTTTTTTGTGCTGCTATTTTCAGAACTAGTTCTGGGGATCTGAAAGTTTTTGGTGCTTTCAAGGTGGGGTATGGTTACTGTTCTCTTGGTCTGTGCTTTAGTCTTTAGCCAGGAAGGGCCCTTGCTTCCCTACAGCCGAAAGTACTAGTGCTCTTTTTGGCCCAGGAACTGTGACCAGGACCCCTGTTCTCTTGTGACTGATTATAGGCACCCCTCTTCACTCTTGAACTTTGACCCAGAACTGCTCAGGGGCAATAGAGTTGCCAGTCATCACCAGCTACATCCAATGCCCGCAAAGGGTCCACTTTAATCTCTTTCTGACCAGTTTTCCAACCCCCTTACTGCCTCTGGGCTAAGAGCTCCCAAAGCTGCTGCTGCTGCCTTCACCCCTGCTGCTGCCTCTAAGGCCCACCACTGGTGTTGCCTCCCATAACATAAAAGAGAAAAAAAATTTAGCAAAACCAATTAACACATCAAAAAAGGCTAACATTTTTCTGCAGCATTCCCAAACTTGTGGATGCTCACTTCTGCAAAGGAACGAAGGAGGTATCTTCTTATAGATCTTTTTGGGGGCCTAGCTGAGTCATGTGCCAGATATGGGACATTACTGGGTCAGACCAGAAGTTCTTACAGTACCCAGCTCAGTGTTTTGTGTCTGACACTGCTAACATGGCATGTTCTGGGAGAGTGAATTCATGGCCTCCATGATGCCACATAGAAATGGAAAAGATGGACTTTGAATTTTGCTTCCTCCTTACCTTCAGTAATCCTGTATAAATCATTTCTCTAAATTGGAGACTGTTAGAGCTTTCTGAGAATGTAAAAGGTCATCTAGCCCAGCCTTCTCATTTCACTAGTGATTATCACTCTGAGTAATTTAAAGCAGACCAGCACATCAGCAGATGCACAGTGTGACTTTGGGGCCTTTGTGGTACCACCTTCTGAGGGCACAAGGCTGGAGAGAAGTTAAGCCTGGCCTGCTGTCACCCATACAGTTTGTAGCAGAGATAGGCCCATAGCCCAGATCTCCTGCCTTCTCCAGCCCAGTCTTTCCCTTATACCAAGCTCACCCAAACACAATTTATTTTTTATTTATTTATTTTTAAAATTAATATATTTTTAGTTTTCAACAGTCACTTCCATACATTTTTGAGTTTTAAATTTTTCTCCTCCTCCCTTCCCCCCTGCCTCCCCAAGACTGTTTGCAATCTGATATAAACTCTACATATACATTCTTATTAGACATTTTCACATTAGTCATGTTGTAAGGAAGAATTAAAACCAATAGGAAGAACCATAAGAAAGAGGAAACAAAACAGGAAAAAAAAGAGCAAACAGTATGCTTCGATCTGCATTCAAACTCCATAGTTCTTTCTTTGGATGTGGATAGCATTTTCCATCATGTGACTTTTAGAGATGTCTTAGATCCTTGCATTGCTGAGTAGGGCTAAGTCTATCCAAGTTAGTCATCACCCAATGTGGCTGTTACTGTGTACAACATTCTCCTGGTTCTGCTCACTTCACTCAGCATCACACCATACAAGTTTTTCCAGGTTTTTCTGAAGTCCTCCAACTCATCATTTCTTATAGCACAATAGTATTCCATTGCATTCATATACTACAACTTGTTCTGCCATCCCCCAATTGATGAGTATCCCTCAATTTCCAATTCTTTGCCACTGTAGCGAGAGCTGCTATAAATATTTTCGTACATGTGGGTCCTTTTCCCATTTGTATGATCTCTTTGGGATATAGCCCAGAAGTGCTGTTGCTGGGTCAACCAAATACAATTTATTGAATTCCCAAAATAGTTCTTGTTTTTATTTCTGCTAAAGATACCTCCTTCTTCAAGCTCAAAGCATTGAGCCACCTAGTGGTAATATTGGAATTTGATTAACAAGTCTGTTCACTTTCCATATTGTTTTAAGGATTTTTTTAAAAAAAAATTAGGTCATGTCTTCTCTCAGACTTTCTAGGCTTGCCATGGTGTGTGAATTTGTTAGGACAAAATAAAATAATTAAATTTATAGCCATAAAATAAAAATAAAACTTGCAGTTTTTTGTGTTAAAATTTAAAAAAAATATATCTGATATGTTTTCCTTTTGCTGCAGTCATTCTACACAGTTTGGCATTGAGTTCACAGGATTTTTATATTCTTTCATGAAAGCTCACTTCTATCACATTGGATACTCAGCGTACATTTGACAAACAATACATTTTTCCAAGCCCAACTTCAATTATAACCCATAGATTTTCAATGAGAAATAGTCAGTGAGGTGGTGTGGTGATTTGAGTTCTGGGCCTGGAGTCTGAAAAAGCTGAATTCAAATCCAGATGACTGTGTGACCATGGCTAAGTCACTTTACTTCTGTTTGCCTCAGTTTCCTCATCTATAAAATGGGATAATAATAGCATTTATTTCCCAGGGCTGTTGTGAGTATCAAATAATAACTGTAAAACATTTAGCATAGTGCCTAGCACACAGTAAGTACTATATAAATGTTTGCAATCATCATAGTTCAAGCTGGTTACCAGGCTATTGAGGAATATTTATTTCCAGTACTCCCAGGACAATTCTGCTTCTCAGCATATCAGTATATTCCAGGTTCACTGGAAGCAGAAAAATCCCCAAACTGGATTTTGAGGTGGACTTTTGAAAGTCTGATACAGATTTTCCTAGATTTTACAGGCTTCTGTACTTCTGACAATAATTTTGGTGCAGACATGAATGAAAAAGCATGTTTCATCAGTACTTTTTCCCCCAGTCTTCAGTACTTTAGTCTCTATGTTTTCTTACCTGAATAAAGAGTTTTTTCTTCATAGTAGCTGTTAAAAGCTTTCATTTTGTTTTTTAAAATACTGGTGTTCTCCCTCTTCTTGCAGTTCTAAGAAACCTTCCCTGTGCCTCTGTTTTGGACCTGATCACAACCTTTCAGTTACCAGGCTGCTCTGAAGGTCTTCACTTGTTTTCTGAGGATTACTTACGCTATTTTGCAGTAGTAGTTCAAGTTTTTGCTTTATTTTCAATCACATTTTTCTTTGATCTTCATTGCAATGGATCATGTTTTTCATTGTGAGCTTGAATGATCCTTAAAATGTTTGTCTTTCCCATGCTCTTCTGTTCTCCCTCTTCTCCCCCTTTGCCGCCACCCCAGAAAGCCTCTTTTTACCTTCCTAATAGGTTACAGAGTGGCCTACTTATTGTCCCCCACAAAGGACTTTCCGTCACCCATCTCCATGCTTTGCACAGGCTGTTCCCCTTCTTACCTTCACCTCTTGGAATCCTTGGGTTTCTTCAAAGTTCAGCTCAAACGCTGGTTTTACTAGATGAGGCCCTTTGTGATGGTCAGACCCTCTCCCTTTCTCCTCTCTCCTCCCCACTCCCATTACCTCGTATATATTTTCCTATGTATGTATGTATGTTCTTTCCCAGTAGAGTATAAGTTCCTTGAGGGCAAAGAAAACCTCACTTTTGTTTATTTCTCCAGTGCCCGACATGAGGCCTGCCGTATAGTGGAGGCCTAACAAACGTGTGTTGTTTGATTGCTAGCTCAGAAGTAGGAGGTAGGGAGCCTCTGAAGCACATTTATGCTAAGGGGAGTTGCTTAAAGGGAAAAGCCAGTTTATTCAGGTGATTGCATGGGTGCTTCAAAAAGATACTGTATTAGTTAGCAGATATTTATTAAATTTGTTCTGTGCGTGCAGCACTCTAGTTCCTCTTGGTAAAATTCTAGAAAAGTTATTTGCTTTAAGCAATAGATGTCTCCAAATAAGTTACACATAAATTGAGTTTGCATCACTTTCCATTTTCTCATTTGGCCGTGTTCTGATTTCAATGTTTTATCTTGATTTCTGGGGGAAATTGCACCTACCAAGCTGTATTATTTTAAGGAACCATGCGTTCATTCTTTTGTAATGATATAAATTAATCACCCATTACCACACAGTTTGTCTGTTGTATGAGTCCTGCCGATCATGCCCTTGAGGTGTCTTGGAGTGTGCACCCCTATAGTAAGGGGCATTGCCATCTCCATTAAAGTACTTCCCCAGGATGTGCTTCAACAGATTCCCTGGGGATGTCATTAAAAGGGACTGTTTTGGGAGAAAAAAATAACCATTTCTCCATGAAGACCTCTCCCGAAGAAGACATTGGCCTCTTACGACATATGCAGAGGGAAAGAATTGTGGAGTTAAGTGCTTGCTTGTGGAATAGTTATTTGATTTAATTTCAGTTTCTTAAAACATTTATTTATATAAATCTATTGAATTTTATATCACTTTAATTTCCAAATATGTTTTTCTCCTCTCTTCCTGGCTAGCCAACCCTTATAGCAAAATTAAGGAAAAAAAACCAAGATAGGAATTAAAAGGCAATGTAGCAAAACCAATCAACTGTGTCTGACAGTACATATGGTGTTTCCCACCCAAAGTCCCCTTGGGTAAAGAATGGAGTAAGGTACATTTTCTTATCTTATCAAGCTTATCTATCTTTATCAATCTTTTTTTTTTTCAATGAATAAGTATTTTCTCTCCCTACTATCCCTAGCCCTTGGGGAAAAGAATGAAAAACAGAATCCCTATAGTAAATATGCACGGTCAAGTAAAACGAATTCCCCCGTTGGCCGTGTCCATAATCAGACTTGGGGTCTGTCACTCTGAAATTGTACCAATCCCCTCATCATTTCCAATGTGGAAACTGGGTCTCAGCCAAGCCAGGTGATTTGCCTGAGGTCATACAGACAGTAAGTAGAGGAGCTGGCACAGAACCTGTGTCTGTAGATCCAGTGCTTATTTCTTCCTCTCTGCCCCATGGCCTTTTCTCCCTCTGTAGGTGTTAATTGTTGTTCCTTTCCGGGAGGCTGCTCTCAGGGTGGTACAGCTCTTCATCAGTCTCTTAGAGGCAGGAAGCAAGAAGAAAATAGATGTGAGTAACAAAAAACGGTTTAAGGGAGAATATGGGTCTGACCCGGACGAGAGACCTCCCAATCTGAAGAGGCCTGAGGATTATGACGCTGTGTTTGCTGGCAACATTGATGACCACTTCCGGATAGGTAGGTGGGAAAATCGAAACAAAATGGAACCGCCTTATTTTGTGCCCCCAACATCCCAGGTCAGATCAGATAACCTGATCATTCCTTTGCCCCTGGTAAACAGACATCTCTTTGTCATCTTTTAAAAGACCTGTCATTGATGTCTGAAAGCCAGTTCCCTCAAGTGGAACCCTCCCTCCTCACAAGAGAAAAGCTAAATAAAAGAGACCCAAAAAGCAACTACATCCATCAACAACGTAGCAGTCTGCACCCACAGCATCCAGCCTTTCTACCAAGAGGAAGGAAGTATGTTTCATCATGGCTGGGGTCCTAAGAAGAGAGATACTACCCTTGGGAAGTGCATGGTGTTATGGGGAAGATGTTTTCTAGAGAAGTCTCACTGGGGACGCTCACAGAGCACACAGGAAAGACTTAGAGATGTAACAGGAGTGCTTGAAATACCACTGGGTAAAGCCCTTTCTGTGATTGTGGGAAGAGGTTCTTAGAGAAATTGGAGTGACTAGAGCTGGTTGGCTTAGCCTGCAGAGGTTATTCATGAAGGGCCTGGAGGCCCTTCATGAATAATTAATATCATTACAAAATGGTAGGCTCCTCTTGCTCTCCCCAGTTGGCTGTAGTACTAGTACTTCTTGATGCCCCGTGCCTCTCTTTGTCAGTCCATGTCCTTCCTGCCCTGAAAAGCCACCTCAAAGACTACTTATTCTAGGAAGCCTTCCTGGGTGGAACTGGTAGCTATTTTTATTATTCTCCCTGGGATGATTATTCCTTTTTTTCCGCACTTGGAATTTCTTCAGGACTCAGCATTTTCAGTTTGTAGTGTAGACTTGCTCTGTAAATGTAGTTTCTCCTATGTATGTTCTGACTGATACAAATCTGTCTACCTGTTCTTTTCTGTCCTGATACAGTGCTCTGCATACAGGGAGTAGATACAGACTCTTTTCATGGGCTGGTGTCCATGTCCATCTAGTGATAGGTAGGACCTGCTCAGGAGGGCTTGCTGGGTAGGCAGGGACCCGGCGTTAGAGTCAGCGGGGGATGAGGGAGCCAGAGCAGCCACATGAGCAGAATCAGGAGGCCTGCAGGTTGGTTTTCAGGCCAGAAGAAAACCTATGGGGCTCTCCATTGTGCCGAACAAACAAACTTGATGGAGGAGGCAGCCATCAATTGTATTTTTGTAGTGGGAGTCCTCCCTGCAAACAAGTAAAGCCACAGGCTGAGACGTCCCGCAGTGAACCGTGCTGGCCAGGTGGATAGAGTGGCACTCATTTGCTTCAATGCTCTTTCCTCCCTGGCTCAGCAGGCAGTATGTCGAGAGCTCACTCATGGGCTGCTTGACAGGAATTGCTGTGGTGAGGGAGATGGACAGGCTCATCAGGGCAGAGGCAAGCCTGCTCTCTGCTGCATGGTAACAACCTTGGGAGGAAGGTTATTATCCTGATGCTGTCGAGAGCCTGGGTGGGGGTAGGGAACGTGTGTACAGTCATTTTAACCCAGGGAGAAAAAGGTTGTTCGTTGTTACAAGATGCTGCATGTGTCCATCTGATGCATGCAGAGTCTGAAATAATGGTTTAGTGGCATCCTGGGGCTGTGTTTTGAACCAAGATGCCTTTTTTTGTCCACAAATCCTGTTTTCATTTGTCATTATTATGGGACTTCCACTGAGCAGTGCTTGAGTTTATGCTTCCAGCTCACTGGCGAACTGTGAAGCCAGCCCTCTCCCCTTTACGAGTGTGGCTATGTATGTTCTTGCCCCCTAAGTGACCAGGGCTCTGTTTGCTTGGCTACCCAAAGAGTATAAGATTTGAAGTCAGAACATATGGGTTCAGATCCCAGCTGTGCCACTTACTACTTGTGATTTGCTCACTTTTCTGGTCCTTAGTTTCCTCATCTTTAAAATGAGGGGGTTTGAGCACTTCTCTCTTCCTTTGTAGAGGTGGGGTGATAAGAGGAATTTTGGGTAGGGAATACTGCTTTTGATGTCAGGCTTAGTTGATATCTTGGTTAGTTTTGCTGAATTGCTTTTTCACTTTTTTTTTAAATTATTATAAGGGGTGGTTCTTTGGAGGACAGAGTAGGGAGGTATATATTGAGAAATTAAAAACAAAGGATATCTTTTGAGCATTTTAAAAAAAAAAGAGGGCATTGAACTAAGCTTTCCTTCCCACTCTAAATCTATACTACTAGGAATATTTATGACTTAATATTTTTTTTTCCACTTCTGACCACACTTAATGTAAAGGACCAACTATTGACAAGAAAGTTAAGAAAGAAACACAGCCCTCCTTAATTGGTAATAAAGTTGTTAAGTATTACTTTTATTAATGGCCAGTACAGAAGATAATAAATTTAGGATGTGGCTTAATAGATAGGACACTTGGCATCTTAGACTTTTGGCCCTGCCTGGGGCCTAATTATTACATAACCTGCTGGGAAAGCCATATGCACTGTCTCCTACCTATACTGAATACTCCTGTGTGGTTCTTACCTAGTGTTTTCTGGTCTCACTTAAGAATGAGATTGTAAACAAGGTATTAAAATGGATCTAGCCTAGGTCTGCCTGGCAAGAATCATAGGGTCATTCAGTAGTATGCAGTATACAAGTCCTTGTGCAAGGTTTTAGAGACAAAAAAATGACACAGTTAGTAGTCTCATGGAACTTATATTCCATTGGGGGATTTATCTATCAGATAGAATTAGAAGAGACCTCAGACACCAGTTCTTCCAACTGTCATTTTACAGATGAAAACTGAGGCCTGTTCAAAATTAAATCGAAGTCATCTGGGTAGCAGGCATCAAAGGTGGTATTTGAACCAGTTGCTCCTACTCAGGAACCAATACTCTTTGTGCTGGGCCACAGAGAGAGAGGGTACACGTCTAAGAGCTTCCAGGAATGATACTTTTTCCAAGAAACTAACTAGTGTTTCTCTAATGATGGAAGAATTGTCCCTGTTGGCAGTGTATAACTCTACCATGGGCAATCAGGAACAGAGTTGAGTTCGGTAGCTGCTATCAGATTGCAAGGCTAAATGGAAAGTAGGAGGCTTTTATATATAAATATACCCAATATACATATTTATATATATATGTATGTATGTATTTAATATATACCCAATATACATATTTTATATATATATATGTATGTGTGTATATGTGTGTGTGTGTGTGTGTGTGTGTGTGTATATATTTAATATATACCAGGGCTTTATGAAAGGCACATTAAGATCTTCTCTTCAGCATACAAATGACTATTAAATAATGAGCCTATTAAAACATTTGTCTCCTTTTTTTGTGCAGGAGTTGCAGTTCTTCAGCGAAGCATCCGACTTTATGCTCCATTTTACTCCTCCGATATTCTCATTGCCTCCCCTCTTGGCTTGAGGACCATTATTGGTGCAGAAGGAGAAAAGAAGAGGGACTTTGACTTCTTATCTTCCATTGAGATTCTCATCATTGACCAAGTCGACATTTACCTGATGCAGAATTGGGAGCATGTCCTGGTAATAATGTCTTCTCCAAATGTGTACTGCTTAGCTTGCTTTCTGGTAAAGAGATAACAACTTGAAACCTTGCTATATATTCAAGTGAGTCTTCTTAAGGCCATTTCTAGGGGAGTAAAGAGCCTACCGGCAAAACAGTTTTTTTCCCAGAAGCCAAATTAAATTTATTCAAAGAAAGAAGAAGAAAGAAAACCCCAAACTAATCAATTCATTGAAAAAAATCTGAATTATATGTCATGTTTCACACCCCTGGAGTCCTCGAATCTGCAAAGGAATTGGGGAAAGTGTTGTCTTAAATTCTTTGGGGTCACGCTTATTGTTTGGTCACTTTGCCACATTCATTTTCCATTGTTTTTTTTTGGTTCTTTCCATTTATCTTGTTGTGACTATTATACATATTGTTTTCTTGGCTCTTCTTTTTTCTGCATTAGCTTGTATAGGCCTTGCTTCTTTGAATTCATTATATTGATTGTTTCTTATAGTATAGTAATTGTTCATTACATTCATGTGCCACAGTTTGTTTAACTATCCCCCAGTAGATGGGCATCTATCAGTTCTTTGCTACTAAAAAAAACATGCTAATATTTTGGTATATATAGAATCCTTCTTTTTATCAGTGACCCTCTTGGGTTAGATGCCTAACAATGGTGGTTCTTTGTGTCAAAGTGTGTGGACATTTTAGCCACTTTATCTGCATAATTCCAAATTTCATTCCAGATTTGTTGTTGTTAAGTCATTTCAATCATGTCCAACTCTCTGTGACCCCAGTTGGGATTTCCTTAGCAAAGATACTGGAATGATTTGCCATTTTCTTTTCTTCTCCAGCTCGTTTTACAGATGAGGAAACTGAGGCAAACAAGGTTAAGTGTCTTGCCCAGGGTCATACAACCAGCCAGTTTCTGAGGCCAGATTAGAAGTTAGGGAGATGAATCTTCCTGACTCCAACCCCAGCACTATCCACTTTACCATGTTTAATCCTGGAGCTGACAGAGAGTAATTGGAAGTCATTGAGCACAGGGGTTAGAGTGAACTGACCAAATTTCCTCACCTAGTCCCGTTGTGGGTATGGTACCTGTGGGATTTAAGGTGCCCCTTGTGTGTCTGGGAGTTTTTTCTCTGTTAGGATCAAACGTTTGACCTTGGTCAAAGCCTCATCAGTAGCAGGCTTTTGGCAGAGAACCTGCTAGTCACAGATTAATAAGTGTCTATCTGGGCCTGGATAGGCACTAGAGATGAATTTGGCAAGGTAGACACTTCTTTTTATGGCATTTGTATTTTCCTTTTAAATGAACTTAAATACCAAATAAAATGTGTATTTCTGTATAAAGTCAGGAAGAAAAAGATGATTGTCTGTGAAACCATGAATCTCTTATGTACAGCTTGCTTTATCATTAATTAGCTTTCAAAGTTGCCCTGCTTGTCTCTGTTTCCTTCTGGCCTTCTGTTCTTTTCTGTTCACTTTTTAAAAATGCTTCATTGATGGTGAACTTTTCTTTTTAGGGACAATCCTTTTATTACTATCTCCCCCATTGAAAAAAGAAAGACAGGGGAAAAGAACCAAACTAAAATCTTTGTATCATTTGTGTGTAGTTAAGCCAAACAAGTTAACATACTGGCAGCATCTGACAATATGTGACTCTTTCTTCACCTTTTGTTCATAGCATCTGATGAATCATATGAACTTACTTCCTTTGGACTCTCATGGGGTGGACTTCTCCCGAGTGCGCATGTGGAGCTTGAATAACTGGTCCAAATATTACCGACAGACGCTGCTGTTTGGTGCCTTGCAAGAGGCCCAGATCAACTCAGTCTTCAGCAAGTACTGTGTCAATTACCAAGGGCAGGTAGGTTCCTCAAGCAGAGTAATGGCAGAGTCTCTACATTGGGGGTGCAGTGGATAGAGCATGGAGTGGAATCTGGAAGATCTGAGTTTAATTCTGGCCTCCTGATACTTACTAGTTGTGTGACCCTAGGCAAGTCAGTTCACCTCTCTTTGCCTCAGTTTTCTCATCTGTAAAATGAGAATAATAACAACACCTACCTCCCAAGTGAGAATCAAATGAGATAATAATCGTAAAGTGCTTAGTACAGTGCCTGGCACATTGCAGATGCTATATAAATGTTAGCTATTATCATCCTCATCTTCATCATTAATATTATTATTATTATTATTATTATTGATGTTATTTTATTGTGGGAGGTAAAGGGTCAAAGGAAAGGGGAGGGCAGTGCTTAGTTCCCATCTAGGCAGAAAAAGGTTGTGGGGAAATGTAGAGAAACACCCACAAAGAGAAGGCCACATCTGTTATTCTGCTGTGCTGCATCCTCCTTCCTTTCCTGAAGGTCTTGATAATTTTTTATAGGTAGCTGTGAGGAGCATCTCGATGACTGGCTCCATCAGTCAGGTCCTGGTGCAGCTCCCACATGTCTTCCAGAGACTAGAAGCTGAAAACCTCCTTTCTGTAATAGATGCCAGGTAGGTAATTAGCCCTCTATGGTGTACCTGGGTATTTGGGCTTCAGGAGGCTGCTACTGGGCGGCTCCCAACTGATTTTACTGGTTTTTGTTGACCTAAATAAATTATTCCCTCATCAGCCCCCAATGAGTGATAGATTTTTACTCCACTGGCACTGTTATGTAGAACAATCGTATGTTGGTTGGCTCATTTCTTATACTAGCACAGTGCTATGCAGGTAACATTTTTTTATAAATATATTTTTATTGATAACTTTTCTTTTTCCTTCACCTGCATTTCCCAATGTATTCCTCTGCCTCCCTTTCCCTGAGAATAGGCCTTTATACCTTATAACAAAGGCTAAAAAAAAGAGGAAAAAAACCCAGCATAACAAAACTAACCAGCAGAAGGGAGAAGTTTGGGGCTGTATGTGGTTTTCTGCACCTGTAGTCTCTCACCTCTTAAAGAAGTGGAGGAAGGTGTCGTCTCTTCTTTGGGACTGAGTCAAATCATTGTAATTTTGCAGCATGTACTGTTCACCTTGGTTGGTTTTTGTGGCACTTTCCATTTACAGTGCTGGGGTCGTATATATCGTTTTCCTGGTTCTGCTGACTTCACTTTGTCCTCTTCATAGAAGTCTTCATACACATTGCTTCTTACAGCACAGCTGTGTTCCATTCCATTCATGTTCTACAGCTTAATTAGCCGTTTCCAGCTTGATGGCCGTCTACTTTGTTTCCTGTTTTTTGCTTTTACAACAAGGGCTGCTGCAAATATTTGAGGGTATAAGGTGCTTTTCTGCCATTGACTTCCTTGGGTCTTATGCTTAGCAGTGGAACCTCGAGGTCAAAGGCTATCCACATTTTAGTCACATCCATAATGCCAAAATTCAGTGCAGAGAATACACTAAGAAATATTTTTTATTAAATGAATATTCAGCTTACAGAGTCTTGTCGCTGTCGCCTGCCAGATCTCAGGACACTGATCTTCATTCAGTCAGTCAACAAGCATTTATTACTGTGCTAGGTGTCCATGGTACAAAGACAGAAATAAAACAATCCTTGTTCTCAAGGAGCTTATATTCCCTTTAGAGAGACAAATGGATATATCTAAGTATATGTAGAACAAATAAAAGATAAATGCCAGGTATTTGGGGAGGAACCAGGAAAGACTTCTTGTAGATGGTACCTGAGTCTGAAAAGAAGTCAAGGCTGAGGAGGGAGTGCATTTCAGGCCCGGAGGACTGCCATGTGTGAGGAACAGAGAGACCTGTTTGAATGGACTGTCCATTGAGAGAAGGGAAGTAGTATCTAATGAACCTGGAAAGACAGGTGGTTGTGTGTGTAACAGCTAGAGGCATTAGGGAATCACTGGTGACATGGCCTGATTTCTGAAGAAGATAAATTACTTCGGCAGTAGTGTGGAAGATGAGTTGGAGTGACGAAAGATTTGAGGCAGGGAGACTGATGAGGAGGCAGCAGTCCAGGCCAGGTGGGAGTGAGGACTTGAGCTAAGGTCATATAAGTGTATGGCTAGAGAAAAGGTGTCAGGTGTGAACAGTATGGAGGCAGAGCCAGCAAAATCTGGCAGCCGATGAGGTGTGTGAGGGGAAGCCAAGGACAATGCTGAGGTTTTTGAGTCTGAGGAACTAGAGAAATGGGGGTGCCTTTTGACAGAAATACTCCCTCCTCATCTTTGCTTTCTCAGAGCTTTCTCTTCTTTCAAGGCCCAGTTCAGGTATCCCCATCTTCATGATGCCTTCCCTGAGCCACCTTTAGCTGAGTGACCTCTCCATCAGTTTTTTAGAGCACTTTGAATATATTAATTTTCCCTTATTGAATTCTACCTTTTATACCTTTTTTGTGTTCTGTATTTCATACTTTCCTTAAATTGTATGTCCCTTGAGGGCAGAGCCTATCGTGTTTCATCCTTGAATTCTTGACACTTTGCACATAGTTTTAAAATAAATATCAGTTAAAGGGTAAAAGATAGCTATCCTGTACCCTCTAAATCGTAGCTGTTGCACTAAAGAGATGGCAATGGAGAGAGTGGGCAGCTGGCTGCTCAGGCCATGCTGGCAGAGGGCCCCTGGGTTCAAAGGCAAGTCCTCCATTTCCCAGGCCTGGGGTCTTTATTTTAATCTCCAGTGAGAGTCTGAGGAAGCAGTTTGCTCCCTAAACAGACTGACGAGACAGCAACCAGCAGGCTGGTTCATTAATTTGCAGTGAGAAATAGAACTGCTGACTGGCTCAGATACTCATTGGCTGGTCAGTGCATTCTCTTCCCAGTTGGAAAGTCTAATTGGAAAGGCAAATTAATAATAGAAGGTTGCTTAGTGAGTATAAATCTCAAAGAAAAAGAGTTAAGTGGTCTTCAGGGATTATTGTTTGCAGGCTGTAATAACCTAATCTGTGCCACAGGGATAGACCTATCATGAAAGTTGGATGTTCAAGTTTGCCACTCAAGGCGCACTCTCCCCCTGTGCAGTAGGAACACTGACAAATTTTGCACTGTTGAACTCGCCATTTTTCATATTCCTTGTTAGTCACCAAAGCCTTGGGTCATTATAGCACTTCCTTGCCAGAGAAGGCAAGGTTTCCAAGATGATGGGATTGTAGATATAGAGCTGGAAGTCACCTTAGATACTGTTAATTCCAGTTCTCCCATTTTACAGGTGAGGAAACTGATGCAGCTAGCTGATATCTGAGGCAGAATTCAAACGCGGGTCTTCCTGAATCCAGGTCCAGCACTATCTATTGCACCCCCCAGCTACCTCAAGTTACATGAGTAATATTTTAAATTTATGTCTTTACGTGTGGCCTTTAAGCTTTGTGCTGAAATTCAGGAAACCCACCGCTCTTAGAAGCAACAGATTTAGAAACATTCTCTTTGAATGGGCTACTTTTAAGTTGATTTTTAAATTTTATTCAATCAACAAGTATTTATTTTCTTTTCTACATCAACCCCCTGATTGAGGGGATTAAAAGACAAAACCCTTGTAACAAATATGCAGAGTCAAACACAAACAAAATTCCCACCTCCACCTGTTCTGTCACATTCTGCATCTTGAGTCCATCACCTTTCTGCCAGGAGGTGGCTAGCTTTAGTGCTCTGGAGCTGTAGTCGACTGTTGGATTATTCAGATATTAAACCTTTCAGGGTTGTTTGTCTTTACAATGTTATTGTATAAATTGTTCTCCTGGTTGGGCTCACTGCAGTGTGCAGCAGTTTGTACAATTCTCAGGTTCTCTTAAACCATCTAATGGCTTATTTCTGCAGAGGGATAATCAAAGGCTGTTTATGTTGGTTTTTATCAGTTTTAATTTCAGAAGGTGTTATTCTCTGACATTGCCTCATGTGATTTTAGGAGACTATCGCCATGGGGCTGGTAACCCGCTTTGGTACTGACTGTAGATGTTGTCACGATGAGCCTGAAAGTCCTTTGTCAGACCTTGCTTTTCTCTGTGTGCCCTAAAATGGACTTGACGAAGTCCCAGAATTACCCTCTGTGAGAATGGACAGTTGTCTCTTCTTCATCCTCAGCTCCAGCCTACCTCTAAGACTTCCCAGTGCACACCACACCGTCCTGATCACTCATGTTATGTGAAATATAAAGTTTTTACATGTGTAACTTCATAAGTTGCCTGAACTTGTGAAATCCTTAAATGTTAGACATGGAGAGGGATCATCTGGTCCAGCTGACCTCATTAATGATAAAAAAGCTGAAACACAAATTGATAAAATGACTTGTCCAGGGTCCAAAGATAGTAAATAACAGAGCCAGGACTAAACCCTCGTCACCCAACCAGCTGCGTAATGGTCTGGTTTTGTGCCTTATTTAGATATTGACTCCGTGGTATTGACTGAATAGTGTAATTGAATAAGCATAAAATACTTGAGTTTAAATTTTGGCCATGCCACTTATTACCTGTGTGATCTTGGGAAAATTACTTCTCCGTAGGAAGGAAGAAAGGAAACAATTTATTAAGCATCTACTATGTGTCAGGCACTGTTTTAAATGCTTTGCAGATACCTCATGTGAGATTCACTACAATCCTGAGAGGTAGGTGCTCTTAATATCCCCATTTTACAGATGAGGAAACTGAGGTTAAATGACTTGTCCAGGGTCATACAGCCAGTACATGTCAGAGGCCAGATTTGAACTAAGGTCTTCCTGATTCTAGGCCCAGCATTCTAATCTACTGTGCCACCTAACTGCCTTATGGGCCTTATTTTCTTCATCTATAAAATGAGGGTTTTGGACTAGACCTTGGATTGGTAAATATAGCCTGAGGGTCACTGACCATCACCTATTTTTGTATGACCTAAGAGCTTAAAATGGTCTTTACATTTTTAAATAACAATTTTTTTAACATGTATATATTTAATTTTAAAATATGACAAAATATAATTTAATAATGTAAATCTATTTAGTAACATACTTGTATTTAAATAAAATAGGTATTTTGAATTACAAAAACCATTCTTAGCTGGCAGGCCATACAAAATGAAGCAGTGGCTGCGTGTGGCCAGTTTGCCGACTGCTGGACCCGATGGTGTGGTCTCTAAGGTCCTATTCAGTTCTGAAATCCTGAATTGATAGCATTTGCAAAGCAGGATTACACACGTGAGTTCTGGGACGTGTTGGGTCCTGTATAATTTTCTCCAATGAATTGTGTTATCACTTTTAAAAAAATACATAAATTTTATTTTAATTTCCATTGACAAGTCCAGGTAAAATAAAAACAAAAGCATAAGAAATATAAGCTTACTTGATAACTCCTCTATCCTTGTCCCCTCTTTCTCTAGAAAAAAAACCCAAACCAAGAGATTATTCATAATTAAATAAACAACCTTGTGTTGATCTGCTACTTGCTTATTATTAGTCTCATGCCCCAAGGTGTGTACAAATTTAATGAGTACCCAGATTGTCCTTGTTTTTGTGATTCTTTTTAACCTTTTTTGTATAACTGTTGCACATTTGTAGATGTTATTTTTACTGCATAATTGCTACTCTGTCCAGTGGGGTTTTGGTTTGATTTTTTTTTATCCTGCATCATTTCATGTATTTCCTCCAACATAACCTTGACTTTGTATTTATTATTTCTTATGGCACAATAATATTCCATTACATTCATATACCATAATTTGTTCAGCCATCCTCAATCAATAAACATCTAATTTATTTCTAATCATTTGCTGTTACAAATAATCCTGTTAGGAATATTCTTGTACAGATAGGGTTGTTTTTTTTCTTCCTGTCATGACCCTTTGGGATGCTGGGTCAGACGGTATGCTCATTTTTTTCCACCTTTATTTTATAATTCCATGCTGCTTTCCATAAAGGTTGGACCAATTTACAGTCCCACCAGGTATGTAATGGCCTACCTGTTTTACCACAACTGCATTGGCTTTTATTATCTTTGCCAATTTGTTGAATGTTTAGTGATTTCTCAGTTGTTTAAATTTGTATTTCTCTGGTTATTAATTTTTTCATGCAGTGGTTAATATTTTTATTTCCTCTTTTTAGAACAGCCTGTTCTTGGTGTTTGATCACATAATAATCAGTCATGTAGGATTTTTTGAATGCAAAGATAAGAGTGAAGCAGTCCTTGCTCTCTAGGAGCTTAGTCTAGTCAGGGAAAGGAACATGTACACATTGAGGTGCAGTTAGGGAGAAGGACCTGGTAGGGGAAAGGGGACAGGCCAGGAAAGTCTCCTGTAGAAGCCCTTGAGCAGAGTTTTGAAGGAGACTAGGGATCATATGAGGTAAAGGGGAGGAGGGCATACATTCCAAGCATTGGGTACAGTTAAGGCTGATGGGATGCCATTTATAAAGAATAGTAAGGCAGCCAGTTGTGATGAACTGTTGTGTTCACAAAGAGGATTATTGTGGAATAACGGTAGAAAGGGAAGTTGGAGGGAGGATCTGTAGGGCTTTAAATGCCAAATAAATGAATTTATATTTAATCCTAGAGTTCCAAGAAGATCTTGGAATTTGAATAGAATACACCAATGTCTCCTGGAGAATGGCTTCTAGTCTTTTGTGTCAGGTCCTCTTAGATCTTCAATGTTTGATTCACATGGCATTGTGAGTAGGGTCCTGGACTTGAATTTCGTAAAATCTGGGATCCAGTGCTGACTTTGACACTTGGTAGCCTCAGATAGCTCCATAGGACTCACTTATTAAGTCATAGGCTTGAGTGGAAGTTGGAGTTCCTGTACATGGAGTTAGTCTCCATGGTGATGTAGCAGGTACTTCTCATATGAATTTGGTACAACCTCTATTTCTTAAAGTTTGTTTCTTTCGTTATCCTAGTGTATTGCTTTCTTGTGGCAAAGCCTTTTATTTTTATATAATTAAATATCAAACCGAATATAAAGTATAATTTATGTCTTTTGTCTCTTAACAATTTACTCTGTCATTATTTAGAATTTATCCTCTCTCCATAGTTATGAAAGATATAACAATATCTAAATTTTTCAAAAAAAATTTATGTCTGATCTCCAGATCTGGGAAAGACATCATAGACAGAAGGAACTATAGACCAGTATCATTAATGATTACAAATTTAAAAATATCAAATAAAATAACAACAAACTGCAACAATAGAGCAAAAAATAGTACTCCTTATAATCAAGAGGGACTTATACCAGGAAGATAAAGATAGATCTCTGTGGGGGAAAAAAAACAGCATATAAATCAAATTCAGAGTGTTTTCAAATCTTTATTCTTATTTTTGTCTTTCTAGTAGCCCTTTGAGGTAAACAAGACAGGTTATTATTTTGCGTGTTATACACCTTGAAGAACATGTAATACAGAGAAATAAAGTAGCTTTTTGAAGGTCACACAGGTAGTTAGTGGTGGAGCCCATACTGGAATCTTAATTTATATGGTAATTCGCTTCTTTTTCACCAGGTTTCATTTCTTTGTGGATAAGATCTTACCTCAGTATCGAGATGCAGTCATGTCTCACACTCTCATCTATGTCCCATCCTACTTTGACTTTGTGAGACTCCGAAATTATTTCAAAAAGGAGGAGTTAAACTTCACCCACATCTGTGAATATACTGAGAGGTCTGGTGTCTCTAGGGCCAGACACTTCTTCCTCCAAGGAGAACGTCAATTTCTGCTTTTTACAGAACGTTTCCACTTCTATAAAAGGTAAGACAAAGCCAAATTTGGTTATCCCCCCTTCCCCAGGTGGAAGCATGCCAGCAAACTTCTGAGGAATGTTTTGTGTTATTAGAAAGCTCCCACTCCTTCCCCCTGCCTTCTCCCTTACCAGAATAGCCAAAGAACTTCTCTGAGGATAGATGGGGGTCTCCATCACTCTCCGTCTCACTCTTATTTCTTTTTCTAATATGGACAGGAAATAAAAGATTCAAAAGTTCAGAGAAGTAATCCAACCCCCTCCTTTCTTAGGTGAGGAAAATTAGGCCAAGAAATGCTACCTGATTTTCTTAAGGTCACACAAGTTGTCAGGGCATCATAGAACAGTGTTTTGGAAGTGTAATTGCCTGAAATAACATGCAGTTTTGGTCAGTGCATGACAAGACATACTTGAGACTGTGGAAAAGGAGTCAACGAAAGAGCTAGATTGGTTGGTTTGCATGAGCATCATCTGGTAGAGGCGATCAGTGTGGGCACCCTAGTGGATGACAAGGCTGAAGGAAGGAGGTTAGAGTAAAGTGTAATTATATGGATTCAGAACTGGTTGAATGCCCATGCCAGTGGACCAGAAGAGTTAGTCAGCAAGCATTTATTGAGCCCCTACTACATACCAGGCCCTGTGCTAAGCACTGGGGACACAAAGAGAGGCAAAAACATGGTCCTTGCCCTCAAGGAGCTCACAGTCTAGTTGGGAAGACACCATGCAAAGAGCTATGTGCAAACAAGCTACATGCAGGGTAAATGGGGGGTGGTCTCAGAGGGAAAGCATAAGATTAAGGGGAACTGGAGAAAATCTTGTGGAAGGTGGGACTTCAGCTGAGACTTGAAGGAGGGCAAGGAAACCAGGACAAGGAGAGGAGGAGGAAGAGAGGTCTAGGCATGAGGAATGGCTAATGACAATTCACAGAGTTAAAGGTGTAGTGTGTAATGTGTGAGGAACATGAAGAAGGCCCAGAAGCCCATGTGGCCTGGATCACAGAGTGTGGATATGAAGGGCTTTAAAAGCCAAACAGAGAATTTTATATTTGATCCTGGAGGTTATGGGGTCTCACTGGAGTATAATTGAATGGGGGGGAATGACATGGTCAGACCTGTGCTTATGGAACCTCAGTTTGTCAGCTGAGTGTAGGATGGATTGGAGTGGGGAGAGATTTGAGGCACAGAGACCAATCAGCCAGCTGTTACAGTGGTATAAGTCTGAGGAGATAAGAGCCTGTTCCATGGGGTGGCAGTGTTGGGAGAGAGGGGAGTATACACAAGATAGGTTATGAAGGTAAAAAACAGTAGGATTTGGCAGCTGATTAGATGTGGAGGCTGAGAGTGAGCAGTTGAGGTTGGCAGTTAGGTTGTTAGCCTGGTGATCTGGGAGGATGATGGGACCCTTGATAGTAATGGGAAAGCTGGAAAAGGGAGGAGGGTTTGGGGGCAAAGATAATGAATTCCATTTTGAACCTATTGACTAATTATCTTTGCGGCATAAAGTTCAAAATGCCCAATAGGCATTTGCAGGTGTAAGAGTGCAGGTAAGCAGAGAGGTTAGGGCTGGACAAATGGATCTCAGAATCATCTGCATCGAGATGGTCATTGAATCATTGAGAACTGCTGAGATCAAGCATACTAGCCTAGAGGGAGAAGAGAAGGTAGCCCAGGACAGAGCCTTTGGAGGTGCCCACGGTTGTACCTGGATGAAGAGCCAGCAAAAGTCACTGAGAAGGAGCCGGCAGGCAGTTAGGAGGAGAACCAGGAGAGACCAGTATAATGGAAACTTAGAAAAGAAGGTGATTAACAGCATCAAAGGCCGTAGAGGAGTAAAGGAGTTTTTGGATTGAGAAAAGGCCATTGGATTTGACAATTAAGAAATCATTAGTAATTTTGGAGAGAGCAGCTTCACTGGAATGATGAGGTTAGAAGCCCCTAATGGGTTTCTGTTGACCTGAAGTGAGGTGTCTAGTTGAACACCCGGGGGATTTTTCACCAGTGGCACTGTGCTGGTTAACATTTTAACTTGTGACTTGGATGAATGCACAGAGGACATGCTTATTACATTTCTAAATGACATCTGAAACTAGGAGGGTTAGAGAACACATTGGACAATAGAATGAGGATCCAAAGGAGTCTCAACATGGGATGAAATTATGGGCCAACTCTGAGATGAAATTTAATAGGAACAGATGTCAACTTCTACATAGTTCATATAATAAATTTCATGACAGATGTCAAATAATGAACCTCACAAGGAATGGCTAAATAGCAGTTCTTCTGAAAAAGATCTGGGGGTTTTAGTAAAATGCAAGCAGCATATGCTAGGGTCGCTAAATAAGCTGTATGAAGAGAGGTGTATTTGCCAGAATTGGGGAGATAATAGCCCTTCTTTATTTTCCTGTGGTTGATCATGCTTGGAGTACTGTGTTTAGTTCCAGGTGCCACATTTTAGAAAGGATATTTATAAACTTTATAAATTTTCCAAAGGAGGGTAGCTGGGACAGGTGAAAAGACTGGAGGATTAATTCACCCTGCAGAGAAGATTTAGGAGGGACATGATAGCAGTCTTCAGGTGTTCAGATTGTTAGAGCTGTCTAGAAGTAGAAGGGGTCGTCTGGGCTTCCACCTCACGGGGGCTTTTCTAGGAGAAGCTCGGTGTCCACTCAGGTATCATAAAAGGAATTCCTAGTAAAATGTGAGTTGGACCAGGTGACCTCTGAGATCACTTCTAACTCTTGAAAATCAGTGAGTCTTTACAGATTCTCTGGTCTGATAAGATGTGGGCCCTAAGTGGGGGCATGTTTGCATTCTCACTGAAATGTAGAGAAGGAAGGTTTTACATGAGAAACTCTGTGGTGAAGGTTTAAGAGTTAATGATGTAAACTCCCTGAGGGCAGGAACTCTCACTTTGGTATTTGTGTTCCTGTACCTCCCATAGGGCCTGTCATATCATAGGTACTTAAATGCTTGTTGACTTATTAGTGGTTGTTGAAGCCTAAGCCTTGGGTAAGGTCACCATGACTCTTAAAGTTAATAATAATAACAATAGCTAACATTTATATAGCACCTACTATGTGCCAGGCACTCTGCTAAGCACTTTACATTTATTATCTCATTTGATCCTTACAACAACTCATAAGGAAACTGAGGCAGACCATGGTTAAGTGACTTGCCCCGGGTCCCACAGCTCATGAGTGTCTGAGGTCAGATTTGAACTCAGGTCTTCCTGACTGCAGGTTTAGGGCCCTATCCAACGTATCACCTTGCTGCCTGGCCTTGACAGGTGTATTGGGAGATAGGAAGTTGCTAGCCAGGTCCTAAGAATGCTGGTGTTAGAGATGTTCTGGGAAGTGGGGTTGAAACCTTCCAAGCCAAGGTAGAGTTGCTCATTAGGAATGTGGATTAGATGGGATGAAGAATCCAGTCTACTTTGATTAATCCTGCTTGACTTCTTTGTAGCATTTGGCCCTGCTAATCTCCCTTTCCTCCTGGATTCTCTCTCTTCTGGGATTTCATGACACTACTTTTGCCTCATAATCCTGTCTAACTGCTCTTCAGTTGCCTTGCTGGTCCATTATCAATATGATGTCCTGTAAGACTCAACTGGGCCATTTTAAATTTTTTTCTCAAAAGTTATTCACTTGGTCACCTCATTAGCTCTCATAGGTTTGTCATCTTCATTACAGATGACTGCCATATCTATATATCCAGAGCACCAGAGTTGCCTTATTAACTCCTTAATGAACCTTTTGAACTGAATGTGTAGTAGGCATTGTAGGCTCAGCGTGTCCAAAACAGAAAACGGTATCTGTGACCAAGTCCAACCCTCTTGTGTACTTCTTTATTTCTGTCAAAAAAAAAGAAAGTATGTATGCATGCAGGTATGTATGTATGTATAGCTATGGTATTTTGCACATAGTAAGTACTTAATTTTTATTGTTTGATTGAAAAGAGTGCGGACAAGTTAAATTCAGACATTAATGAAATCTGGAAAACCTAGAACTCCAGGGGGACGCTTTTGAAATTTGAAGGAGATTGTTTGTAGGCCAAATAATTGCTTCTTTATACACTGAGCAATTCATATTATGTAGCACCTTAAGGTTTATGAAATCCCTTCCCCACACTACCCTGTGGAATAGGCAGTACTGACATTTGTACAGTTAACCCCATTATACAGATGAAGGCAGCTAGGTGACTCAATAGCTACAGTGCTGGATGTAGAGTGAGGATAGGCCCAAGTTCAAATCTTGCCTCTGACCACATTCAAGTCATTTTACTTTTGTCTGCCTCGGTTTCCTTTCTGTGAAATGGGGGTAATATAGCACCTACCTCCCAGGGTTGCTGCCAGGCTCAAATGAGATAGCATCTGCTCGATGCTTTATAAACCTGAAGGCATTCTATAAATACTAGGAGAAGAAAAAACTGCAGATCCTAGAGTGGTTCTGTCACTTGTTTCACCTTCAGTGACCCTGGTAAATGCCACACATGGGATTTGAATCCGTGTCACTGGGCTCCAGGAATAGTGTGTTTTCCCAGGAGCTTGTCCAGGCTGAAAGCAAGTATGAAAGGCTTTGAGATAAGAGTTCTCAAACCTGTAATGGATTTGTTAGATGGACATTAGAGATATATCACTAACCTGTTTAAGAAAACATATAATGGAGACCCGCTCTCATTCTGTCCTACTCTGTGGTATAATAATCATATTAGCCACAGCACTGCTGAGCGCCAGGGGACCTAGGGTTGTGGGTGCAGTGGGGGCAGGGTGTCACTGATGCTAATTTTATGGGAAAAGTCCCACTGCCAGAAATGGAGTATCAGACTAATTGGAAGTATTGGTCTGACTTGGTGGAGGGGAAGCCTAAGCAGTCCATCCCCTCCTCCCTCGCCTCTATCACCCCTGTCTACTTTTTTCATCCATGTGATAGAACTGATCATGTTAGGGAAGGAGGGAGGGTGTCAGGAAACTTTCACCTGCCCCTCTACTTTGCTCTGTTTGATACCACTTTCAT